GCCAGGACTCCCAAGTTCAGGATTCTTTCAAGCCACTCATCCCTTCTAGTGTTCTCTTTTAAGTTCAGAAAGAGTAAACAAAAAACAGTTGCTGTGGAGTCGACTCTGCTATGGTGACCCCATGGGTGTCAGAGTACAGCTGTGCTCCATAGGGTTTTCAATGGTTGATTTTTCAGAAACAGGTAGCCAGGCCTTTCTTCTGAGTCACCTGTATGTGGACTCAAACCTCCAGCCTTTTGGTTAGCAGCTGAGTGTTAATCGTTTGCATCACCCAAGGACTCAGCTTAGAAGGACCAGAGATTTACTCCCTCCCTCCTTCCCTTTTTCCCATCCTACCTCCCCTCTCCTTTTTTCATTTTTTCTCTCTCTTCTTGCTCTCATTTCACATGTGCCTGCACATGTATACAAAATATACATTTTAAAAACTGTTCTTAAAGTACAGCTTTCTTTGATAGCAAGTGATATATAGAAGGTCTTTAAGGGTAAATCTTAAAGGGTATCTTAGAAGCATAGTGTTATCTGGAAGTCATCCCATCCAACTGCTTTATTTCACAGATGGGAAATAGGCTCTGAGTGGTTAAGTTACTTGACCAAAGTCACACAGCTTTTTAATGGAAGAGCCAAGAGCACTTGACCCTGAACCCACGGCTCTTCTACAAGTGTCACTTCCTGAGTACATCTCTGCCATACTCCTCATATTTGTTTTTGAATTTGGAAATATTCTCAGGTTGTCTCTCCTACTTTCTAAATCAAGTGGAGGAAGAAAAACAAACGTTAAAGCTTGGGAATGCAACCCACCTTTTTCCCTGAATATAAGACACAAGCTGCACTTTTGTACCTCCGAGCAGTTGTTTTATTTATGTCACAGTGTGAAGAACTTGCTGGGTCCCATTATTGCTCTGTGTACTGAAGTGGTTGGATGTCTTTCTCTTTATTCAGGCATGGTCATTGATTTTTTGACAGTGTTTAATATTAAAAGTTATAAATCTGCATGCAGTAGAACCATTTAACCATAAGTATCTGTGAAAGTAGAAATGTGGTGACTGTGTACCCCGAGGGACTCCTTGTGGTACTGTTGCTCAGTGCCCAGACCAACGCTGTTTGAGAGAAGACATGTTGCAGGGTTGAACCTGTACGTGACAGAAATATTTAAACAAGCTTTAAAAAATATTATGCAGTTTTTAAAATATTTTGTCACAAATCAAATGTCAGCTTTAAATGCAGTGTGTATAAAGTGCTGCCACACTGTGTGATGTGTCCCATAAAGAAGAATAGAAGCACTGACACATCAGACCAGACTGCACTGTTTTCTGTAGGAGTCCATTTATTTGGGGATACTTTTATATTACCAACAAGTCCAGTTAGCAAGCTCCATCTGCCCCCCCCCCACCCCGTTACTACTTCTGCTTCCTCATCATCTCCATTGGTGTCATCTCAGACCAACCCGTCACCTCATTTTTCTGGATTACAACAGTACCCCACTGGTCTTTTTTGTAGGCACACTGGCCCCATTCCTGTCCATTCTCCACATGGCTGCCAGGCTATTCAGTCCATATCTTCCCCTGTATAAAGTCTTCAAATGCCTTCCCATTTTTTATTGGTTAAGGTTTGATCTGGGGAACAAAACAATTATAACTGAAATGGAACAAGGAATTTATTATGAGGATTAGACCTTATACCAGTTGTAAGAGAAGCTGAGGAAGTGAATTGAAAATCAGTTCACCAAAAATCAATTTGTCAAATGACCATTACATCTCAAATCGTAAGACAAGTAAGTACCTGACACCAGGTGTAGGACCAGGTGCTGCAGAGGCGGAGGCAAGAAAAGATCATATGTCTGCCAAATAGGGAGGACAGTATGCTATGTTTGAAGGAAACAGCATTCATTCCATGTAAACTATTGAGAGTCACAAAAGTTCTACCCTCTGAAATGTAAAATATGACTGAAAAGGATATTCAGTGTCGGTAGGCAGAAAAAAATTTTAGCATAATCACCAGGATGAAATAGCTGTGAAAAACCTCGTGAAACTAAAACTGCCCTCATTCTATCCCACTTACCCAGTTCTTCAATAAGTAGACAATTTGTTCTTTGTAATTGGAAAATTGGCTTCCAACAAACTGATTTTCTGTTCATTAGATTATTTCCTTTTTTTTTTTAACCAACACATTCAAAATAGTCCCTCCACTTGTCCCAGACACTCTCTGTTATACTATTTTTATTTTCTTCACAGCATTTACTTCTGTTTGAAATTATCTTATTTATCAACATTATTTTATTTGTTTTTTGTCCTTCTCCCCACCGTAGAAAAGAGATTTCAGAAGGGCATATATCTTGTCCGTCTTGCTCATTATTATATCCCCAGCATGCAGTAGATATTCAGTAAATGCGTACTTGAGTAAATGAATGAATGAAGCTGAAAAATATAATTGATCATCAAAGAACTATATGAAGATTTACTGAGCAGTACAGACCTTTTTAGATCTTAGATATGTATGGCAATAAGCTATAACTCATGACATTGCTACTGGAGTATGAGTTTTATTAATAGAAAGCTTTTCCTAGCAAACGGAGGACTGTCTTTTCTTAAATTATAACACTGACGTACATAATATTAACATTTGCAAGCTTTTACATATATTCATTGACTTAATCCAGGCAAAACTCTTATGAAGTAGATATTATCCCATTTTACAAATTTACAAGTGAGTTCAAAAAGTTGGAATTCATGAATATTCTTTCGTGAGTTCAGAAAGTTGGAATTCATTAATATTCTTTCAAGACCTCGTTCTATGAGTTAGGGCATTTTTGGAACACCCATTCAGTATGCCAGAATACTGAGTGAAGTTGTCAGCTAGGGGGTTCCATCTACTCTATTTAGCTTTTTTTTAACTGAATATAGAAGATGCATTTATTTCTGGACATTGTAAAGTCAATCATAAGATTAATTGAAATGACCTCTATATATTTTACCAGTTATAATTTTTTTTAAAGATAAATCCTACTTATTGTCTGTGGTCTCCTACTTAATGCTATAGTACTGTTCTCTGATGCTTTTCCTGTTATCTTTATTTTCCCTTTAACTCCCATGTTCTTCTTTGATTCTATACTCATTGAAATTAGAAGTGCTGTTTCCTTTGACCAAGCTGTAATAGTAATTGCAGAGTATCCTCAGACTGTGACTGCTCAAAGCTCACATTTGAAGTACAACAAAGCTTTGTCAAAGTGTTTATAGCTCCAGCTCTCCCTTTCCCTGCTAGCTTCTGTGCAAGTATGTGAGCTGCTGAAGCTTCCAATGGATGCTCTGCAGAATTGCCTGCAGCCTGCCTATTGTTGGGGATCACTTCTGTCTGCACGATTGTATGCTGCAACTCTCATTTTTCATTGTTTCCTCCTTGTTCTGTGAACTCTCATCTCTATGGTTATTGTTGTTGTTAATTGCTGTCGAGTTAGCTGCAATTCATGGTGACTCATTTACAATGGAATAAAAAGTTGCCTGGTCCTGCACCGTCTTCACAATTGTTGGTATGCTTGAGTCCATTGTTGCGGCCACTGTGTATTTTGAGTGTCTTTCATCCTAGGGAGCGCATCTTCCAGCACTATATTGGACAATATTCTGTTATGATCCATATGGTTTACATCGGCTAATTTTTTTTTTTATTGGATCGCCAGGCCCTTCTGACAGATGGGTGGTAGCATTTCTAGGGTACAGAACCAACCAACCAAACCCATTGCTGTCGAATCAATTCTGATTCATAGAGACCCTATAGGACAGAGTAGAACTGCCCCATAGCGTTTCCAAGGAGCAGCTGGTGGATTGAAACTGCCTACCTTTTGGTTAGCAGTCAAGCTGTTAACCACTACGTCCCCTGGTAGGGCCATTAATAGCTCCTTGTCTGTTCATTGAGAAAAGAGCTACTCTCAGGCTGAATATAGGCTGACAAGGGCTCCCTGACTGCATAAGCCTCCCCCCACCAAAAAAAAAAAAACCATTGCTGCTGAGTCGATTTCGACTCATAGCAACACTATAGACTATAGGACAAGGTAGAACTGCCCCATAGGGTTCTCAAGGCAATTGTGCCAGTCTGTCTGATTGAAGGTTTCCTTCATTTTCCCTGACCGTCTTCTTTACCAAACATGATGTCCTTTTCTAGCAATTGGTCTTTCTGGTGATACGTCCAAAGTAAGTTAATTAAACTCTCACTATCCTTGCTTCTAAGCAGCTTTCTGGTTGTATTTCTTCTAAAACTGATTTGTTCGTTCTTCTGTCAGTCCATGGTATATTCAGTATCTTTCACCGCCATGAGCCCTAGTCAAGATAAAACATCTAGGGTGGTGAGGTGTTTTTTCGTTTTTGTTTTTTCTTTATTTAAACCTAGGTGTGCTCCCTCCAGTTGTTCTATGGAGCAAAATCTGTCAAATCATCAAGGTCAAGTATCTGGTCTTATGCTCCTTTATATCTCTGATTTCTGGCACACGGTAGGGCTTCCACAGAATTTTTTCACATCAATAGTGAATGAATAGTGGACTGATTAGCATCTTTAGTATATTTAATTTAGCTGAAAAATGGCAAGTAAAATAGTTCTGATATGTGGCTGGTTTTGATATACATTATTGATTATAGGTTTTTTTTAAGTGAAAATTATTGTATTATCCAGGAAAGCAGAGCTGTGACTAATGAAATAAAATTAGGTGAAAGAAAAACGTGAACTGAATATCAAGACATATTTCCAGCAGATGAGGTTAGGATTAAATCCGGCAGAGGAGCCCCAGTGGAAGGAGTGGGGGGGATGCTAACACCACACGTGTGACTTAGAGCTGTAGAGAACTTCAGCAATTTACCAGGGACAGACTCTGACTTTGGCAGGATGATAAGTGAGATCATATCTCTAATGCCATTGATTCTTTTTCTTGCACAGGTGTATGTTCACAGCCACACATTCCCCATGGATAGGATTTATGTGTGTGCTCAATTTTCTGACTATAGTTTTCTTTTTTCCAGAAAACACTTGCTTTAGATGACTCCTGGTGCCACTCAGAAATGTCCTCCTTAAGTGGCAAAGTGCAGACCGTGCTGGGCCTTGTGGAGCCAAGCAAACTGGGTCGCACCCTGACCCATGAACACTTGGCAATGAATTTTGACTGCTGTTACTGCCCTCCTCCTCCATGCCACGAAGCTACCTCTAAGGAAACTATTATGATGAAAAATCTATTTTGGATTCAGCAAAACCCTTATTCCCACAAAGAGAACCTTCAGTTGAATCAGGAGACGGAAGCCATAAAGGAAGAATTGTTGTATTTTAAGGCCAACGGTGGAGGGGCTTTGGTGGAGAACACGACCTCTGGAATTAGCCGAGACATGCAGACTTTGAAGTGGTTAGCTGAGGAGACCAGTGTCCACATCATCTCTGGAGCTGGGTTTTATGTAGATGCAACACACTCTTCAGAGACCAGAGCAATGTCAATAGAGCAGGTAAGAAGCCCTAAGTTCTTTCACAAATTTATGTATAAATTCATCTCTGGGTGGTACAAACAGTTAATGTGCTTGGCTTGTAACCAGAAGATCAGCAGCTCAAGTCCACACAGACACACATACCTCACAAGAATGGCCTGGTGATCTACTTCCAAAAAATCAGCCATTGAAAATCCTAGGGAGCACAGTTCGACTCTGACACACAGAGTCTCAATAAGTCGTGATCAACTTTACAGCAACTTTTTTTTTTTTTTTTAATGTATAACTTCAGAGTAGCCAGAATTTCAGATCTTGGATTATCCCTACACTTCATCTGTATTTGGAAATGTCATTGACTCAGCGGTAGCTGGGCATGCTACATAAATTTGATAGCTAGCAAAGACATCTGCCAATTGGTACCCAAATCAGTAATGTTTTTAAAGAAAAAAGTGTCAAGGAACAAGATCTTAATGCAGTGACCACTGAAAAACTCACCTTAATACTTAGATTTGTATATATTATATCAGAGTGCTGTAGTGGCACCACTGTCTGTTTATAAACCTCAGCTTTCATTATATACTTCAATTATGTAACCTCAGTTTTTTTCTGGATTTTATAATAACCAGCAATAAAAATTCACTGTAGGGTGAAACTTGGCAGCCATAGGCTTGGCACATTTGTAAACATGTTTCCTTCTCCTTTTACAAAACAGGAGGGGTAGAAGAAACTCCATTCTCCTGTTTTTGTCACAATATGAAATTAAACAGGAATGCGCAGAAGAAAGTAAATCTTTTAGGGACAAAAAGAAAGAATAAGCCCCAATGTTTGTTTGCACTTGTATGTGCTCTCTTTCTATACACACACATCTATTTATATGTTTACACATATGTGTGTATATACATATGTATATTCCTTGTATGTATATATGTATATTCCAGTGTATATTACATTGTAAATGTATATTGCATTGGCTGTTTATTAGGCATAGAATATTAGCTGTAATCTTTGCATAGGTTCAGTTAAATAATTTGAATTACTTTGTATTTAAAATTTTATTGGCATTTTTGTATATTTGTTATTTGAAAACTATGCCAGTGTTAGAGATTACACATTCTTCTGATCACTCTTAGCAGTAAATATGCATATGAGCTGAAAAGTATAATGTTAATATTCTGAATTTTCTATGCTATATTGGGTAAAGGACTGAATAAGTAAGACAGAACTAAAGAATTACTTGATACAGTTGACAGATTCAGTGACAGTCTTAATATGTTTTAGATGCTCCCCAGGTTTGATCTTAGGTATTTTTCTCAACCTGAATGTTTCTTCTTCGTTGTTGTTGAGAACATACACAGCAAAATATACACCAATTCAACTGTTTCTACATGTACAATTAAGACACATACAGAAAAAAGAATGTAATGATTACATTCTTCGAGTTGTGCCTCCATTCTCACCCTCTTTTTCTGAGTTGTTCCTCCCCAATTAACATAAACTCACTGCACCCTGCGGTTCTCATCTAAACTTTCGAGTTGCTGTAATCATTTTGATCCCATATAGATAGTTCTTATAGAGCATGATGCTTAAGGCAGACATTTTCTACTAGTTAAGCTAAATTATTGCTTGGTTAAAGAAGACTTCAGGGGATATTTTTGGTTTGAGGTTTAAAAATTATCTCAGGCGGGGCCAAGATGGCTGAGTAGTCAGATGCTTCCAGCGTTCCCTGTTACCACAAAGACCCAAGAAAACAAGTGCATCGATTATATATGACAATCTAGGAGCCCTGAACATCAAAGGCAAAGTTGAGGAACTGGACTGAGTGGCAAGGGGAGGGAGAGATGGTTTGGAAGCAGTGAGGAGTTGCCAGACCTGACCCGGTGAGAGCCTGAGCCCTTCAACCTGGATCAACTCGGGGGTGAGGCAGGCAGGCAGCAGCGCTCAGGAGGCATTTTCCACGCCGGGAGAGACCCAGTGGCAGAGAGTCTACTGGGCCATCCAGAACCAGTGAGAAGCAGCCCTTGATCGGGAAAAGATAAGTACTTGCATCTGGCCTACTGCGTGGATCAAAAACACCCCTTAGGGAAAAACCTCTCTCCCACTTACCTCCCCACTCCCTGCTTTGCGCTGGGTCCTGGACCGGCTTCAAAAATTGCTGAGTCCCCTGGGCTGGAAGTAGGACCTGTCACCCGCCCTGAGCCATTCTCCCGGCCTTGGAGAGTAAACAAATTAACAAATGGGAAAAAATAATCTGCCGGCTCCCCTAAGCCAGGAACTCAGGGTAGGCAGAGCTCCTTTGCTTAGGCACAGGCATAAGCGATGCACAGACTTTCAGTGCCTTTCACCCCGCATGAACTTCTGTGGGCCCATTTCAACAGCGTAGGCCCTCATTACCGCAGTACAAGAGGATATATACCTGAAGTCTAACATCAGCTGTTTCAGCTGTGAAGTGACAGGTTCGTGACATTTGACACTGCTCTGCCCATTAAGCAGAGTCTTCACCTACCCATATCAGGGGCCTGAGCACTGGTGGCTCCACCCACGCCACCTAGACCCCTGCTACAGTGGCCCAAGAACAAGAGTTGTCCCCCAGTCCTTGCAGCCAACAGCACTGGTTGCTTATAGTCTGGCTGCAAAACCCACACATTTACGTGCTCTAGGGAACACGGACATGCTTTCCTCCTGGACACTCGAGGGGGGGGCTGTCGGCCCCCTGCCTTACTCAGCCTGTGTCCCCCTGCTGTAGCTGGATGCCTGTGCCTACACCAATCACCCATGCCTGTCTAGAACTGTAGGTGAGAGCCTGTACCACACACTTGGTGGCCAACTACCTTTGACACCTGAGCTGAATCCATACAGGAGGAGTGAGCAGACAGCTAGGCTCACATGCTTAGTGGCATGTCTGGTCACCTGGGGGCAAGACACTGGAGCTTCAAGGGTGCTGGTGACTGGGCTAGCTCACACGAGAAGCCTATTTGGGCAAAACAAAACAAGCTAGGATACAATAAGCAAACATTAAATAAATATAATAACTTATTGATGGCTTGGAGACAACAGTCAATATCAAGTCACATAAAGAGGCAGTCCATGACGGCTTCAGCAAGCTCCCAAAATAAAGAATCTGGAAATTTTCTGGAGGAAGAAAATTTCTTGGAATTACCAGAGGCAGAATACAAAGGATTAATATACAGAACTCTTCAAGACATTAGGAAGGAAATTAAGCAAAATGCAGATCTATCAATAGAGGGATTTAAGAAGATGAGAACAAAATGACAAATTTAACAGGTACAAGAATCCATAGAGAGACAGCAATCAGAAATTCACAAGATTAACAATAAAATTTCAGAATTAGGCAACTCAATAGAAAGTCATAGGAGCAGAATTGAGGCAATGGAAGTCAGAATTTATGAGACTGAAGATAAAGCACTTGACAACAACTTATTTGAGGAAAAATCAGATAAAAGTATTTTAAAAAAATGAAGAAATCTGAAGAATTATGTGGGATTCTATCAAGAAGATTAACCTGCGAGTGATTGGAGTACCAGAACGGGGGGATAACAGAAAATAGAGAATTATTGAAGATTTGTTGGCAGAAAACTTCCCTGATTTCATGAAAGATGAGAAGATATCTATCCAAAGTGCTCATCGAAACCCACATAAGGTGGATCACAAAAGAATGTCACCAAGACAGATTATAATCAAACTTGCCAAAACCAAAGATAAAGAGAGAATTTTAAGAGCAGCTAGGGATAAACAAAAAGTCATCTACAAAAGAGAGTCAATACGACTAAGCTTGGACTACTCAGTGGAAACCATACAGGAAAGAAGGCAGTGGGATAACATATATAAAGCCTTGAAGGAAAAAACTGCCAGCAAAAAATACATCCAGCAAAACTATCTCTCAAATATGATGGCAAAATTTGGGCATTTCCAGATAAACAGAAGTTTAGGGAATTTGCAAAAACCAAACCAAAATTACGAGAAATAATAAAGGGAGTCCTCCAGTTAGAAAATGAATAACATCATAAAACAATCCAAGACTAGAACACAGGACAGAGCAACCAGATACCACCCCAGATAGGGAAGTCACAAAAATAAATCAAAGCTAGAACATTGAAAATAGAGAAACAGATGTAAATATGTAAAAGATGACAACATTAAAATAAAAAAGAGAGACTTAAAAAATGGAGACATAGATTTATCATATGGAGAGGAAGTCAAGCGATAAAAAAAGAAAGATTGGTATAAACTTAGAAAAATAGGGGTAAAAATTAAGGTAACCACAAAGGAAACTAACACTCCTACAAGTCAAAATAAGAAACAAGAAAAATATAAAGACTCAGCAAATACAAAATCAACAACAATGAAAAACATGAAAAGAAAATACATAAAGAAAAATGACTCAGCACAGAAAATTAAGTGGAACAAAGAAACTGTGAACAACACACACAAAGACATCAAAATGACAACACTAAACTCATACCTATCAATAATTACGCTGAATGTAAATGGACTAAATGTACCAATAGAGAGAGTGGCAGATTGGATTAAAAAAAACACGATCCATCTATATGCTGCCTACAAGCGATACGCCTTAGATTTAAAGACACAAACTAAAACTCAAAGGATGGAAAAAATATATCAAGCAAACAACACTCAAAAAAAAGCAGGAGTGGTAATATTAATCTCTGATAAAATAGACTTTCAAGTAAAATCTACCACAAAGGATAAGGAAGGACACTATATGATTCAAGGGTCAACACACCAGGAGGACATAACTATAATAAATATTTACCCACCCAATGACAGGGCTCCAAAATACATAAAACAAACTCTAACAGCATTGAAAAGAGAGATAGACAGCTTCACAATAGTAGTAGGAGACTTCAATGCACCACTTTTGGTGAAGGACAGAACATCCAGAAAGAAGCTCAAGAAGGACACGGAAGATCTAAATCGACCATCTTGATCTCATAGACATATACCACACACTCCACCCAACAGCAGCCAAGTATACTTTCTTT